CCCCGGGTAGTTCCTTTAAAAAATTGGTCAGCAGACAAGCTGTAATGAGTGTTTAGACGACACACAAATCTGTGGGAACGGTGAATACAACAGAATTGTTTCACCATCTTAGTAAATCAGGATTGGAGCTTTCCAATTGAACGTCGAGATAAATGTGCACATGTAGCAGGGATCAGTGGTGAAAATGAAGACAATTTCGCTCTCTAAAACTTGATTTGTTCCATTCTAAGGTTGAGATTTAGTTTATTTAGATGCAGCTCCTATATCTGTATATATCAGGAGGGATAATTGAATCGCAGTCAATTTCCGTGATAATTAGACAAAGGGGTGAGTACTTATAAGAGGAGATTCGAGAAAGTAAAAAGTCCAGAACTTCATTGGCGTCTTCAAAATATTCTCTGACGCTTGCACCCCCGTCTCTGCCAAACGCATTGCGCCTGCATGAGAAAGCTTTCATCTTTAGCCTTATCAAATTCCTCCATCGCTTCTTCACCTTCCTTCCTGCTGTCCGCCACTTCGTGGAGCGAGGCAGACCCAAGGAGGAGGAGCAGCAGTTGAAGGATACTTATCCACAGTGCTGACTGTATCTTGTAGCGTGTGATTAATTGCAAGTGTGTGCAAGTATAGCGTTTAAAACTCCAACCGCCCTGCTCTATACGCCCACACATGTACCAATGCGTGGTTAAGAATTTGTTTACTGTCGTGGGCCAGTGTGTTTATGCCCTCAATCGGCTATGTCGAGGTTTTCTCAAAAAGATTAATATTCTAACCACTTTACCTTCGAAAATAAGCTCATTGTTGAAAGGAAGTGGAGCAAGCAGCTCTCGAATTAAACGCGCTTTATCAAAAAGTTAAAAATTTTAGTTTTCCCTATACTATTAGGCTACTTTGAGACTGTTTCCATCTTCACGTGTAGTGCCTAAGTTACCCCTAAACGTAGAGAATAGCAACAGAGGTAGGATCGTGAGGACCGAGGTACTAGCCGGTGAAATGTGCAATCGAGACAGGCCTCCCTCTACTGCACAAATCGCCATATTACTGGTCTCTGTGAAGCAGTAGAGTGACCATTCACTTTTACACATCCAAGCAAAAGACCTATGTGGAGCAGACCTTAATAACCTATGAGCTAACTTATGAACCATCACCGCGTATCACATCCCAACTCAAAAATTAGAATGAAGCATATGAAGCAGTTTTCGATTTCCTCTGACGTCTTGTGGTCACTTCGCTCCACCTATTGCTCCATATCAAACAGTGGTAACCTACCACAGGACTTTCAAAATATCAAATATAATGAACG